GCGGCCGATTTCGCGCCATACGTGCTTTTCCTTGTTATCCTCGCAGCTTACATGCAGCACACCTTCGAGTCCGCCTTCAAACTCTTTGAGCGACGTTTGCAGATCCAACTGGAGTCCAAGCTGGATGGACAGTGGGATAAAATCCGCCAAGCCCTTGAAGAACTACAACAGCAAGTTCACGGCCTGGTGGAAACTACGATCCCGGGACTTCCCACAATACCTGACCTCCAGCGACTTCTTGACAACTTGGAACAGACGGTCACGACAGAAGTACACCAACGCAGCCAGGCGTTCCAAGATCAGCTGAACACTCAGGTTCAGCCAGCCACGCTACTTGCCAATTCAGTGCATGTGATCAAAGGGATCCTACAAGGCCCCACCGAAGACCAGTCCCCGTTGACTCTGCTCCGGAAACTTTTTCTCAGTTTACAGCCGACAAAACTGCTGAATCAGTCCTCCATTACGCAGGGCGCCCTCGACGATCTCCAAGGCTCCCTGCAGCAATGGCTTGAGGGAGAGATGTGTTCCCGCATGGACAAGATGATCGACTTGCAATCCAAAGTCCAGGTGGAGCTCTCTACCCTAGTGGATGCCAGCGGCCCGGACTGGACTGCACAGATGTCCACCACTATGCAAGAGCTCCAGACCTCCCTGGCCAGTGCTGTGGACTCACGGATGGAACTGGCGAGTCAACTTCATGCGATCATGAACCACGTGAAGCAAGCCTGCTCTCTGGTCACCAACTTTCGCAACGAGGCTATGCCATCCTTGCATCAGGTGCAAGGCATTGGCAACACGCAATGGGGTCAAGCCGATGTCCTCAATGCGATCCAGGACATCACGGGCTCGATCGATGAGAAGATGAAGCGCCACGGGGAGTGCAACAAAGCCATACAGGCCCAGTTGGAGAAGATCGCCGCTCGTTTGACTCCACCGATGCCTACCAAAGCCCCGCCGCCTCCCACGCCGGGTTCAACGACTACAACCGCACCGACTACGGCACCCTCTGGACCGACGTCTTCGCAGCCTGCATCGACCCCGGCATCTAGTGCCGCACCGCCGCCAACACCGGCGACTGCGCCTCAGGCTTTCGCCCCCGGGCAGACGGCTACAGACCAGGCCTCGACTGCCCCGATCCTACGCTTGCACGAGTCTATGCCGGCACGCCAACCTGTCCAGCTGTCCAACCTGCTGAGCAGTCCCCCTGGATGGCGCATGGGCCCGCAGACCTACCTCGACCCTCGCGCCCAAGACGCTCTGAACCTTATGGCTAGTCTCCTAGGAGGTGCGATGCAGTACCCACCACAGTAAAGTAGCGACCAGGCTATCGGACCAAGCACGCCTGCCTTTCTTTGCTTAGTGGTTTCTTTGGTTTCCTCTTGACTTAGGTTCGTTTTGGTTTACATGTCTTCAGAACTGGCATTTGCTTGAGCTCCGAGCCTCAGCATGCATGTGCATTTTGCATTCCACTTAATTCGTACTTCGTAATTGATAATTCGTAATGACAGTGGCGGCAGACTCCTGCATGTGCTGTGACAAACGAAGGATGCGCGCTCTTCCTCTCAAGCCCTGAGTCCTCAAGGCCCCTGATCACTGCAACATTTCCATCCTGCATACTGCTAGGTCTGAACACTGCGAGTCCCACAACTCTCCTTTTCACCCGAACCTCCCCCCCCCAAAAAAAAAAAAAAAAAAAAAAAAAAAAAAAAAAAAAAAAAAAAAAAAAAAAAAAAAAAAAAAAAAAAAAAAAAAAAAAAAAAAAAAAAAAAAAAAAAAAAAAAAACCGACCCGAACCAACTCGCTTCCTTACCTAGCTCCAAGCCCACTTCCTCCCCTGAACTTTCCGCCCGACGCAGCCCCGGCTCAGTCTCTATAGCTCCTGACTCCATACTTGCTCATGGAACCTTTTGCTGAAACCCAAGAGGACTCGGCGACTTCCCCCCCTCCCGATCCCCTTTCAGCAAGCACCCTAGACCGAACCTCCCAGGACGCTAACGAGCCTACCGCCTCGACCACTGAGGTACGACTCTTTCGGGATGCCACCCGAGTTGATTCGCCCAGAGACAGGGAGCCGGATTCCCCACTTCCCCGTAAAAAACAAAAGCATCTGAAGCTCAAAGCCAACGACCCCGAAACCCCAGATGACATAGACTTTGCCCCCACCAACAAGTCCCTCGAAGCCCTCTCCGAAAGCTTTCTTATGAACGTCGGCACCCTGGACTTGGAGGACCGCTGCTTGGCCATGGCTCGCCTTTCGGAGGAAGTACCTAAGAAATTCTGGGATCTAGATGAGGGTGAAAACAGGTTCTTGCTTTTGGGACAAACCACCCGACTTGCTAACGCGCTCACACGCCTCACGGATTCGCATCCTGGTTTTACACAAGCTGTTTGTGCCTTTATTCGCTCGATTCAGCCCGAGGAGACCCCTTTTACCTCCGCCTCCATTCGCCTAGGCCCTGGTAAGCCCTGCCATACGGACGATCGTAATTCATGGGCTCCTTCGCTGGTCATTGGACTCTCTCATTTTACCAAAGGACGAGTCTGGATCGAGAACCCTACAGGCACAGTAGAGGGATGGAAACCTGGAAGTGAGGACGTCCGACTAGGTAGCTTTGTCAATATCCTGCACAAGCCTTGCCTTTTCAGCTCCCGTACCCTCCTACATGGTACCGAACTTTGGCACGGTGAAGAACGTCGAATCCTCACAGCTTGGGCCCCGCAGATTGCCGCTAGCAACCATCTGTATTTCAACACTACCCTCGCGCTGATGGGCTTTCGACCCCCTACCTCTCCGCAAGCATTGAACAGGTACCGCCTTTCAATTTACTATGGGGAGTATGCTGTCAAGCAAACCAAGCTCCCCGATGCCTTTTGCAGGGAACGCGCGCAGGACTTCACACACTCGGCCCAGGAACCTGTCCTCGAGGTCTCCGATGGTGAGGAGGAAGAGGTCTCCATTCCGGAGATCGTCTTCCCATAAGCGGGCTTCTGGGCTCTGCGAGGGGTGTAAGATCCCTCACTCGCCCCCCTGTTCTGGTTTTCCTTAACTGAGCCCCCGCCGTTGCGTTTTTCTGCATAACATACAACATCCTTACTTCGCGTCGTTCGTGGACGTCCGTTACGCCACAGGCCCCTCGTGAATTCACTAATTCGTCATATCTAATTAGCGATTGCCTTAATCCCCTTGCAAGCAAAAAAAAAAAAAAAAAAAAAAAAAAAAAAAAAAAAAAAAAACAACACGCACATAGCGAGCTGGCACTCTCTACACTCCTGCTCTTCCTCTTATCACTTCCCTCATTGACTCTCCTCCTCTTCACAATCATTTCGCTCTACTTGGTCAGTTAGCCGATACTGCAATGGATGCGCTCGCCATGGCATCGCCTCTGGCACGATCTCTGACTGCAGATACTGGGAAGATTTTGCTGGCCCCTGTCTGAACACCTATGCTGGACTGCTTAGCTGGAAGGCCGGAGATTACCCGCAGCGGGTCGGACGCTGCCAAGACACTTCCCAGACACCTGGGTCTGCAGTTGACCATGGTGAGAACCGATGACGTGGCCACAATTCGCTCCTATGGGCAAGCGATCGTTTCATTTGGAACATTCTGGCATTGCCTGGTCTCCGCTCTTACCTCTGACGAGCCACAGCCTGAATGGCTGTGAATCTTCTGCGTGCAAGCGGAGCTTCTTTCGACTCTGCCAGTGCAACAGACATCGGCCCAGTGAGCCTGGTGGCAATACTGATCTCCCTCGGGAGAGAAAGTGGGTGACTCAGATACGCGTGCTGGTGCAGACGCTGGCTCACAATAGTGACTGCCGACTCTTTCACAGCCAAATGGGCACGGCCTTCCCGTGCCTGCCGGATACTCTGGATGGATTGTTACTGGCGAACAAAGTTTGCACGTTCATATACACATGCAGGTGACCCGACATACTCAGGATGGCAGCTGACAGTAATGCTTCAGGTGGCTGCTCGGGAATGGGATTCCCCGCCGTTTCCCTGCTGTCGTGCACGGTGGCTCAACCACCCACCTGGGTTTCGGCACATGTGGACGAGTGAGCAACAGTGACTGAGTGAGCGGTGTACAGCACTAGGTACCTAACGTGGCAGATCATCCTACAGTCAAGCCACATAGCTGCATCCTAATTGGCCTTTGAACTGCCGTCTGCAATTAATAATTGGGCATCGAATGTGAATTATCCTAGTGAGCACTTTGTGTGTTTGTCTTCCATTTTTCTTCCTTACACTGTTCAGCTTTATATTTCGCGAACGTGCCCGTGCATGAGCATGTAACTACTGTGGCTCTCATTTCAACTTTGTACACAGCGATGCCCTCTCCAGGATCCTGCAAGCCATACCGGGGTAACTATGGGGTTGTTGGGGCTACCGTGGCTTGCTTTCTTGGTGAGCGCTAGGTTTCTGAGGCTCGGCGACGATACGTGTGCCCTTTTCTGTACGGTTGTGATTTGCTCCTGGGCCTTTCGAAGTGGCACACGTATTCTCCCCAGGGCCCCTCTCTCAAGTCTTCGAGTTCTGACGAGTTCCCTGCGGTGCGACTTGTTTCAGCTGGGCGGGTGGCAAAAAAAAACCTTAACGGCCCTAAGGCTCCACGATCCTGTGAACAACACCTACTTGGAGGATCATGGGACTTAGTAAGTAGGGGTTATAGGTACCCTAATTGGGGCTATAAGTTCTTATAAGTATAGTTTCCCTAATTACAACCCTAGTTACTAAGTCCCCTGGCCCTTTAAGTAGACCTTTCAAGCCCCCAACACTAATCCGAAACCCAAAGCCGCAACCTCCAATTTTTTGCAGAAGCGTTGTGTTCATTGAACCCCACAGACCCTAAACAAAAAGCCCTGCCTGACTTAGGGGTATTCAGAAATAATTTAAATTTTTGGGTATTATAACACCTAAAAGACAACTAAAATTGTAATTTTTGCTAGGGTTCTAAGTTCCGTAAAAAGTCCAGAACCCTGAATTTTTAGCCTCAGTCTCAGGCTCAACCTGGAGAGAGTTCGTGGACGAGATGACAGGGGATCCTCGGGTGCAAGCCTATGCTTCGGGATGTGGGGCATTTGTTTAGAGTTCAGGGTTTAGAGTTTAGAGTTCAGAGTCTGTTTACGCTTCAAAGTCAAAAAGTATAGGGTTAAGAGGTCAGAGTATAGAAGCCCTAAACCCTATAGCACTTAAGGAGTTCTGTGTGCTGAAGCTCTCGGCCGATTCCTGGTGTAAAGTAAGTGGGTAAGCAAGTGGCGAACTAACTCAGGCGCCCCCGTCGAGAGTTCACCGCTCTGGGCTCTAAACCCCAAACCCCCTAAACTCTAAATCGCATGAGCATTGCTGGGAAGATGGCTGTGGTTTCCTTTGGAGTTGGGCACTTTGCATCACTTTGCAAGACAGTCCGCAGGGCAGGAGCAAGTGCTCCTTCCTGCATGATCTCTCCCTTTAGATTGTGTATTAAAGTATACAATATTAAAATAATATATACGATGCATTATAGGCTAGCGCTGGCACAGAGACGGGGGAATGGAGGAGCGGTGGTCGAGCAAACACGCACACACGGACAGGATTGCTTGCAGAGTGGTGACCCGCAGCCCCAACCAAAACTGAACCATCGGCGAACCGTGCTTGCCGGGAGACTCCGGGGATATCGTCATGGCGTCATGGGGGCTAGGAAGGGTTGTAAATGGGGCCAACCTGGTAGTTCCTGCAGATTCAAAGACCTATACGAGGGCTCGGGGCTTGAGTAACCCGGCCTTCAGGCACCCCCAGACCCTCAGGATTGCATTGAAGAAAAGTTGATTCGCAAGGCCTGAGGCTTGGCAGGACGTTCAAAGCTTACGATTGCCAGTCAAAGCCACAGACTTAGTCATGGTTGACGAACTGGGAGGCACCCCAAAACATCCCAACAACTCTAAGCAAGACCTGCATCATTCCAAGTCCTAAATCCCAAGACCCAACCCTTCAACACGCCAACTAATGTCCTAGACGCACCACTACTATAATATGCAGGGCAAAAATTCTTACCAATACTAGTTCGGAGCTTCCTTATTGTAATTGTAGTATAATAGGCCCCCCAAGCCCTATTCTAAATACTAAGGCCCCCCATATTACCTAAATCCAGGAGAAGGACGGCTGTTCTGGGAACTGTGGAAACACGAAGTGGGTCTGTGACCAGCAGTTGTGACCCGGCCTGTGATTGGGTCAGGGTTGAGTTTTGGCTTCAGGGCCCCACTTAGGTTAAAACAGAAGCCCTTGCATGTAAGTGCAAAACCTCCATATGGGAGTTTCCGAAAATAGGGGATCCGAATATAGCACCCTAAATAGTAGGATCCTTATTCTAAGGACCCCAAGAATAAGGTACCCTTAATTTTCGGAAACTCCCATCTTAGAGATTATCTCCTTGGACTATGGCAACTTAGAGCTCCACGGCCTGCCCCCTTGGAGTTCCGAGTTGCGAGAGTCCAAGGAGATATTCCGCAAGATGGAAGCGGAAGTCGGAGCAGTTTTTCATAAGGCCCCTTTTACAGCCCCTACACAGTATACCAAAACATGCCCTACCCAAAGAGCCTATTCTAACTGTTCTACGGCAGCTGCAATACGAAAACTGTAACTGTTAGATGAGGACGCCTGTTCAAGATTTCGTTCCAGCTGTGCAGATGAAGGATAGGCTGTCGTTATAGGTCGCTCAGCTCGAACCCGCAACCTAAATCCCCAAACCTACGCCCTTCACAGAGCCCATAAAGGAACTCGTACCGATCCCATGGAGGTCGGCGCAGGAGCCCGCATTGCGAGAGTTCTGCTACAACTCAAAAGTCTCGCAGCTCGATTCCTGCGACCGACCTATGCACACTTGCACCTAGGCTTTAGTAGTAGAGTAGGTAAGCTTTAACCTTGTTGGGGCAGTATAGTCCCTATACAATCCCTATATAACCAAAAAGGTTAACCTTTAGTTCCCCATGATACCCGACAAGTAGGAGGCCGGTGAGGCGTGTGTTTACAGTGTTGCAGGTGTTTGTTTAAAACCGGGTGTTCTCGTGGTTGGTTAGAGGGGTTCTGTAGGGTCTTGTGTTTTTTGACAGGGTTTCATAAGGGGCCACATATGGGAGTTCTATTGATTGGGGTCTTAGGGTTCAGCTTGTGCCTACACAGTAATGTCGTCCTCGCAGTGTATATCTGCATACCCTATTGTGGTGTGGAAGGCGTCTATGGTATCTGAGAAATCCGGAACCCTAAACCCCTAAACCCATTCTTGTGTGACCATCTTCCTGTCTTCGCCAAACAACATTTCCGCCATACGGCATCTCCTGCTTTTACGCACTCAATGTACAGACCCTGGCAGGCGCACTGAAGTTTTTGCCATAGCATACAGAGAGGTCACATGAACCTCCCCCCCCACCAGGGCACCGGGGGGTAATCTGTTCTTTTCATCGCTACTCTTGGACTCTTTGTTGGTTGTGCTGTTTGTGTTGCAGTCCGGTCCCTGCGGGTGCGACCCTCATAGACATACTGATGCATTTTGAAATAGCATATATATATATATATATATACTGCCTGGAGAGACCACATGCGCCTCTCCCTTCAAGCACCATGGGAAAGTCAGATTGCACCTGCTCCTTTATTACTTGTTTGGCTGGCTACTGTTGGGTCTTGGTGTTGCTTGTCACGCTCTGTCCCTTGGTGTTAGAGTAGCAAGTTCAGCGGACTTAGTGCCTGAAGCCATGCCTGCCTTGTGCGAGTGTGTGGGTCGAAACCCGTAAACGCTGAACCTCTAAAACTATGCGGAGCCTGGCCTGCCTTGTGCGAGTGTGAGCGTCGAATCCTCTAACCCCCGGGTCATTCTTACTGTGTCGCTGTTTTCCAACTAACTACTTTCATCTTTTCCTTCTTGTTACACATGGTCTGTTACCGACCAAACGGTGTCACTCCGACTTCGCACCAAGAACCTCGCCTGGCTGTGTCCGAGTTGTGAAAGCGTAAGCCCCGGTTTGCTTCCAGGCACCTTCCACCAAAGCTTGGAGGTCATCCGAGAGGCTCCGCCTCGAAGCTTCAGATCAGTGGATTAGGAGGCTCTACCCTAAGGGTCCATGCACCCAAACAGTATATGGTGGTCGCTCTACAGGTACTTTGGAGCCAATGTATATACTATTTGGGTACATGGATTAGGGCTGCAGGATTTGAGATTCTGCGGGTCATGGGCCGGTCCCGGGACGTCGAACGCAGGGCTTCTGACAAGCAGGGAACCCCAACGAACTCAGGCCCAGGTCGCCTCTGTTTGGTCTGGAGCGTACCTTAAGCTACCACAACTGTTCGTAGGTTCGCATTAGCGACCCTAACGTGGAATGTGCAGGGATAAGCCAAATCAGGTTTTGGTAGTGCAAGGTAGGGTTTCTGACATTACAGACCTTAAACCAACCCTAGTAGTAGAGTAGGTAACCTTAAGGGGTCTAGTTTTTGTGATGCGCCTAAGGTGAATCAAACATCCCCGGCAGTTTATTTCCTCCCAAACCGTTCCGAAGCCACCCGACTGCCCCCGCAGGTATTAATGCAAGCCGCAGGTACCTTTGTGAAATGTTTTGATCTCCTCAATGCTTTTTTGAAGTTGACTCCTTATCCCCGCGAAAATCTGCGATCATTGTCATCTTACGGGTTCACCAATGTTGTTCCCTCTTTGAAATCCCAACCCAACCTCCTTTCAGGGTCCCACGTTCGACACCTTCTTGAATCCATCATAGTGCCGGGAGTCCGAGTCCTGAAATATTCGTATCGCATCCCCCCAATCACGCCTCGTCAGTTGCCGGCCTGCTTCCCACAACACTTCTGAGCTTAATTCGCAAATTCGCGAAGCTCGTCTCACGCCTTTCGCTGGGGACGCAGCTTATTCCACGTCGCGCTTTAACCTTTTTTGGGGTAGTATAGGCCCTGTATTATCCCTATATAACAGAAAAGGTTATCCTTTAGTTCCCCATGATACCCGACAAGTAGGCAACGCTGCAACAGCCCTTCTGTAAGTTTCATGAACCGACTATTACTCGTCCAGAAATAGGGTTGCTGCCTCCTGTAAAGCTTGAGCTCCTCGGTGGTTAGTGTAGTTTCCCAAGTCCTGTTCTAACTACTGAGGCCCCTAAACGAAGCCTTAAAGTCCTTAGAAAACCCGTTGAAGCCAAAACCGAGCAAATCCCTGCAGAGATCCATTAAACACCCAACAAAACCTGTTGGCTGCCCCACGGTAGCTTCTCCCGGCTTCTCCCGTGGATCAGGCGGTATCGGGCAAGACCCTAACCCCGGCCAACTCGTCGGATCTTGCCGCTGTATCGAGACACGGCCCCCTTTGCTAGTGACCCAAAAAGCACATAAGCATAAGCATGTTATGGGGGTTTCCCTATCATATTATTGGGCTTCATCCTAAGCGGGTCAATATGGGATATCCCTATCCTAACGTTTGCTTATGTGCCTCTTTTGGGTCCCTATTTTGGCGTCTTTCTTGAGCGTGTTGTCGCGGGCATTACAGTGTAGACCCGAACAAACGGTTTCAAAACTCAAACCTACTTTGCGCCCAGCGGACTTGCACTATTTCAGAGTTCAGGGTTCAATGGGTTGGTTAGAGTGGAAGATTTTGGGTTTCACACTTTGGGTCGGGCGTTGCATTGGCTTGAAAGTGAGTGCTGCTGTCCCCGCCTGCAAGGGGGCAGACGATACCTAAACCAAAGCCTTAAACACTAACCCCGAAACTCTGTGCACCTCTTGTGCTCCCTTTCAGAACCGTGAAGATGCAGAGATCGCATATGATGTACCTGCACCTGTGCCCGTAGTCTCCCTTTGCTAGCGACGGCGGTCCTTAACTAGGTTGTCGTACGTCCGAGAGGATCTCAGGTGGGAAGTGACCCATTTCCGTGTAATTTAGGTGCTTAACTAATTACCAACACTATTCTGGGGTTCCTTATTAAGAGTATAACGGGCGCCAAAACCTTATTCTAAGGATTATAAGGCCCCTATAGTATAGGTTGTAACCAAGGGTGTATCAGTGGGCCTGCCCCTCAGAAGCTTGTTTCACTCGTAAGACACCTCGAACCAAATGCTGCGCCTGGAGTGTCCGAGTGTCGGCGCCGAAACCCCAAGCTCTAAACTCAAAGCCGCTGACATAGTCCTGATAGAACCGCTATATAGAAACCCTGACAGAACCCGTTACTAGAACCCTTGGTAGACATCCCTGCAGAATCTACACTTAACCTTGAACTCTGAACCCTAAGCCCTGAACCCTAAGCCCTAAACCCTTAAACCCTAAACCCAAAGCTCGAAACCCTAAACCCTAGACTTTGAGCCCTAAGCTCTAAGCCCTAGCCCGAAACCCTAAACCCTAAGCCCTAAGGAATCTCTGGCCAGACAAGAAGCGCCTCAACCTGCTTTGGGGTGTGGAGTGGGCAAGGGTTGCAAGATCTCCCCAACAGCACTCTTTTGCCTTTTTTGGATGGTTTAGGGCCGGCTTGGGTTTAGGGTTTCGTCGTTTTTAGTGTTGTATAACCTGATTACTGGTATTATTGATAATATTAATACTATGTATTGTAAAAATAGAAAATGTAGCTCAACAAAAACGACACCCGGGAACCCAGGTTTGGCTGCCCTGGAACTTCCAAAACAAGCGCATTCTGGTGACGACGCTTCTCCGAGAGCCGAAGGAGCTCAAAAGCTTTAGTTTATGTACGGTTTGAAGGGGTTTAGGGTTTGGGGTTTATAGGGGTTCAAGGGCTTGACCGGCTCTTCTCAGAGAGCCGCAGGAGAGAAGGGTTCTTCCTAAAAGCTTGTGCAGGGGCTCTGTAAGGGCTTCCGTTGGGCTTTAGGAGGGTTCTAGAATATCAGAGACTCACGCTCCCTCAGGGTTACTGCAAGTGGACTAACATCAATGTTTCTACCTTGTTTCGTGTGTATATATATATATATATGTATGTATATGTCTATATATATGTATATCTTATACTTTACGCAGACGGCCCTGACAAGGCTTCATGGCTGGTTTTGTCGAAGGTCTGGACAGGCAGGACGAGAGGAATTTTCGCAGCAAATTTGGGGCTTGAGTAACTACCAAAAATGCTATTCACTAGGATCCCTTAGTGTACCTGTACGAGAATATGCCCATCCAAACTCTCTTGAAAGCAGTACGGCACCTTCTTTTAGCGGAAGCCGCACAAGCCTTGCAGCATAAACCCCAAAGCCCTAGAAAGGTCTGCAGCCGTAATTACTGGTTCATCGAATCATTAACTAGGTCACTTGATCGGTATCGCCAAGTAAGCCTGCTGTCGAATTCGTCGCCTGGCTTGTCGAGTGTGAGCTAGTGTGAGTGTCAACCCAGGACTAAATTTTTGAAGCACGAAAAACACCAAACCCCAAACCACATCCTCTGAAGCTTCAACCCGCAGAGCCATAGAAGCTTATGCCTGAAGCACCAAACATCATCAAACATCCGGACAGGAGCGCATCCGATCTTTCTATTATTTCCGGAACGATGTGCCCACACATGAAGGAGACTCGGATTTGTGTACGTCGCAGAAGTGCATGTGTATCGGCTACCTTAAGTATATGGTTATAAGCAAGGCCACGGTGGCGTTAATTATGGTCCTGGGTTACGGTATTCACTTGCATGTGACTCTTGATATACATTCCAAGAGCTGGCACACTAAGCACTATCTAAGCCGTATCCTAACACGAAACACTTTGAACCTTGTAGAACAAAAACCTCAAGCTAATAGTGTTGGTCGTCTTAAGTTCTACAGGGTTTAGAGCGTTTACTAACAGACTTTACTGCACAGGCTGCAATGAACTGTATGGCCCCAAATCCTTGTTGAACCCATGTTGCCTTTTATGCTAGTCGTAAATATGTCTTTAAAGCCGAGGTTTCAAGGCATTCCTCGAGTTCCGTCGTGACTTCGTGCTTGGGAATATGACGCACGAGCGCTACGAAGCAGAACGTGCAAAGGGCCATGAGGACCGAGGTGCCCTGTGGGGTTTTGGGCGCTTCGCGGGGATCTGGAGAGGGCTTTGCGGTGGCATTGGGATCTGGGATCGAGAGTATCTGCGTGTGCGGTTCCAGCCTATTGGGCAGAGGGGAAATGAAAGAGGGCATGCTCATCTTTTTCGGAGCTTGGTTTTCGGGCCTTAGCCCGAAGCTCCTGGAAGAAAGTTGGGCCATTTGCTAAGGAGGAGCGTTCACCCTCGGCCTCAACTCCAGCTGGCAGAAGTAGGGTTTTCGTGTTGAGTAGTGTTCTTCGAGATTCTCGGTTTGTAGGGGTTGAGTTCGCCTACGAAAAGTAGTGGGCATGAGCCCCAAAGCCCCGCCGAACCCCAAATCTGGATTTCACTTCATGGGTTGCATGGAATGCGAAGTTACTAAACCCAAGCCCTAATGCCCCTAAACCCTAAACCCCCTAAACCCCCAAACCCTAAACCCTAAACCCAAGCCCTAAAACTAAGAACCTCGAAGCGAATCCTGCGCAGCCTTCACGACGATGAGCATCCTACTTCGGTCCTGCTGCGAGTACGAGACGTGGCTAGGAGATGGATCGGTCTCCTGGCACCTTCTTTCGTGTTTGGGAAACAAGGGTGTCTTGTGGCGGGGTTTCTGGCGATGCCTGCGACCTCCCGCCTGGCGCAGAAGCCGTAAACTCAACCTTAAACTATAAGCATACTATAAGCCCTGAGGTAAATCCTCGAACTCAAACCCAAAGCCCTGGAGCTAGTGTCTGGCAAAGATGATGCCATGTTTCTGCAGTCCAAACTGGGAACCGTTGGGTTTTTCCGCCTATATTCTCCGTTGTAAATGTATTTCCCGCTAGCCACGTTCATGGTTGGGAGTCCCAAATGCAAGAAGAAACATGGTCACCAAATGCATATACTGCAAACAGGTTGGCTTCGGAGGTCTCAATAATTATCAAAAATATTGCCTTGGGTTCCTTAATAGAAGCATGCTATAATGAACCCAGCAGCTTTTTTTCATTCTCTTATCTTGACCACTCATATTCGCGCGGATTTAACTCTAAGGTGGACAAAGCCAAGCTCGTACTTTCCACGCAGTTCGACCTGGTTGGCGGCTTCACCTGTTTACAGTAGTGGCTTAGAGTTTAGGTGTATGAGTTTGGGGAGATCGTGGAGTTTGGGGATGGTAGGGTAGCCATCCTCTCGCTTTTGGCCCACGGTTTAGGGTTTAGGGTTCAAAGTTAGTACATCGATAGAGACAAGAAGGTTCGTCGTCAAGGGTACCGCGTGCAATAACTGAAACCCTGAGTGCCGGATGTGTGTCCCGCTCTAGAGGCAAGCCGATTGGCTTCGAACGTTGGGAGAAGTATGGGTTAGATATTACTGTATATTTCATAGCATATTCTTCTATCGTATATGTTGTATATTACATATTAAATACTGTCTGTTCATATGTCATATGCTACATGCATTTCGGGCTCCTCCGGGCCAGGTCTGTCGAAGCCCTCGTTTGTTTCATGATGCGCCGACATGGCAGCCCCGACATGGCAGCCCCAGAGCCCCCCCAAACCCGCACACAAGAATCAAAAGCCCTAGCATAGGGGCCTCAAAGATTAAGATGGGGTTTGGGGGTGTGGGGAATACTATAATAGCAACAAGGAGCCAACCCCCAAAACCTTATTCCAATTATGAAGGCCCCTAGATTACAGTCCCTACAACCGAAACCGAACAACGCTGCTTCCGAGCCCAGGCATCACCGAACGCATGAACGACGGTCTGGTTAGCCTGGGCCGTTTGTATGGTCTCTCTGCACAAGAGACGGCGAAGATCGGACTGAAAGCTCCTTTCCTGGTTGCAGACGCTGATTACCTTACTAACCTTCAAGGGTAACCTGTACAGCATAAGTGGTCAGGAAAAAAAGTCGCAACCTACTATTTGGGAGGTTTGTGGCTCGGGGTTTATAGTTCAGAGTTTGCCAGAGGTTGGTGAAGTCTTGCGGTCTCCAAGCCGTCAGGCAATGCTCCTGCAGCAATAAATGTAGACGGCAACACAACCGAAAACCTGTTCTTGTTGCTGAAGACCTGTACCTGTGTGTTTGGGGTTAGATGCCTTCTTGCGGCCCTGGTAGGGCTTTTGCCTTGAGGGGGTAATGAATGGCCGCTTAACAGTTAAAATAGGTTTTTGTGGTCCGTTCTAGCACATTTACAACGAAAGATGAAAGGGTATTGTATTCTTCCGACCCTTCTACTATAGGGCTTAGGGCCTCGGGGCAAATACTGTGTGGCTGGATTCTACGTGCGAACATCTACACCCCCTGGAAGATGGAACGCCACTCTTAAACCCTAAGCTTTAAACTCTAAACCCTGAATCCTAAGCCCTACTTCCATGTTCGTTCGGGGCCTCAGTGAGAGCAATCAGTCTGCACAACACCATGGCTCGCCTTTAAGGTTGGCCCTGAGTCTTTTGATACCCATCATATTCAAGGTGACCTTGGTGCTATCGGCAACAGTCCTTGATGCATTGGACTCTCTTGCACCGACAATTGAACCAGATACCCTGTTTCGTAGGTTCCTCCCTGAATGGCATAAACCCGAAACATCTAAACTCGAAGCCCAAGGCTGATGATCAAGATAAGCACGACAACTCGGAGAACAAGCTGGACTGGACCGACGAGGAACTCGATCTCGCCACCGTTGTGGCGGAGAAGGGCATCTCGTACAGCCTGATATATAGGGTCGGAACAAAGTAACAGTATCCCCTTATAGTCTCCCTAGAACTCTAGTATAGTATACTCGCCCCAGACCCTATTCCAATGATTATCATGTTGAGGGTTCGAGTCTTGGAGGATTATATAGTTTGTGTTCAGCATGTGCGGTTCACTCGCAGGGTTTAGGGTATGGGTTGTCAAGAGGTCCACGGTGTGTGTATTGTCAAAATTCAGATGCACACGCCAAGCCTGGGGGCCCAAGGAAAGCAGATCTACGAATTCGGTCGAGAGCTCTTCGACAGGCAGTCTGTGAGTCTCTTTGGGACCTATGAGAATTTGCGCGCGGCGGTTGACACCTTTGAGAAGATGGATCCGGAGAGCGTAGAGTGAGACAGGAGATCCAATTCAAGGAGACAAAAGTGATTGTAGTTCTGCTTCTGTCCGAAATATCCTCCATCACCATCGGCATGACCATCAGCCTCATCCTTCTCACCATCAGCATAGTAGAAGGCACGACTCCTCATGGCGACGACCCATTGAGCTATCTCAGAGGGCGGTATGAGCCCACATCGAGATGGCGACGTGCACCATGCACTGAGAAAACAGCCGATTGCCAGGTTTCCTCTAGGTCTTTGTATAGTAGTAACCGGCTGTCAGGCTTGAAGCAGAGCTGCGCGGCACAAGAGTAATACAGGGGCCTGAATAATTGTCTATACTATTTTGGAGGGTGCCTCCTTATTATTAATATAGTCTAGTAATTCGCACCACAACTTTTTTTCTTAATTTCCAGGCCTTACGGTGTTGGAGTTCTTTGGGGTGTCGCACTGTGGAGGCAGCCTGTTGCATGCCATGTTCTGCTGTCGTGGTAGGACACAGGCGTGTGAGATTCCATAAGCTTGTTAAGCAAAGGCAAAAGCAGCACACACCCAACAGCATCCAGCAGCCTAATACTCCAAGACCCAACTTTATGATCTGGGCTTTGACCCTAGGCCGGCGCGGAGGATTTCATCCACATGATGGAGAGTGGCAAGCACCCGTCCTTAAAGGACTCCGGTCTTCGAATCGGCTTGTCTTTTCACATCTGCAGGCCGAGCTTCATGAGATACACTAAACAAGTCAAGACTTTAGCTTCAATGAAGTAAATTGATTGTCGTTTTCTTGGCATTCTTGATTCTAGATATGCGTTCGAAGGTCATGTGCGGCCTTGTTTGACGCAGTGGGAGTTTCTGAAAATGAGGAACCCTAATGTAGAACCCTCAGTGGTAGGATCCTTATTATACAGACCACCAAAATAAGGTACCCCCAAATTTTCGGAAACTCCTAAACCCCTATAGAGCCCTTTAAAGGAACCCTTATAGTACCCTTATAGTCGTTAGGGCCCACTACTTTGCTGATGAGCGGATCGGTCGACGACGATCTTAGGTGCTCGGGCGGCGGAGTTTCAAACTGGAGTTGTGACTTTCCTTCTTGGCTGTAAACTCAACTTTTCAACTTTTGGGGTTCTTATAAGGTAGTCGATTCTGAAAGTTTCAACTTTTGTTTTCCTGGGGTTTTGGGCTAGTGAGTTTCTCGGCAACACAGCAGGAGGTAGGGTCTACCATTGCATGTAGTACTTCTAGTATAGATAAGTGTGAGTGAGTTTGTTAACGGGAATTTGAACTGTTTTGGATTTTAAATCCGAAGCCTGCGCAGCAGACCCCCAGATATTCTTCGCAGGAGGTGCGACTCAACAACAATCTCGCCACTTGGACTTGCAGTTTTCTCCTAGACACGACACCCAAAGGTCTAAACCCCCCAAATTCAACAACCAAGGTCGGTTCATCGTTGCGAATGCGGCTCACAGCCGTCGCACAAGAGACGCATGGAAGTGACTTCACTTTGCGAGTTTAGTGAGGGGGTGCGCGCAGGGTTTCTCAGTGGCTTGGCCAGTGCCCAACAGACGGAATCAGATCGACCAGGGTTTCGTCATGTTGCACAAGTAATTAATTTAAGTCGCACCCATCATCCTCTGCTGATGCTTGAAAACCCAGCGCGGCATCCAGGTTCGGTATGTTTCACGCCTCAGCGTTTCACAGAGGTTGACCACGTCTAGTCCAGCGAATGCATGGGCAAAAGGTGGAGGTGTGTCTCCCACAGGAAATTAAATCTTGAAGCTTTGGTTTATTTGATGTTTCCCACATGCACATCGGCACTCGGCGTGCAAGTGCCTAAGGATAGGTATAATTACTTGGGCTTCAGATAGCAGTTATTGTAGGTTCGAGCTTGGCGTGTATGTCATATATGACTAATTGGAACACGTGCTGGGAATCATACTCGGTTATAGCTTGGGGCTCCAATCCAGGGATTCGCAAATGATGTGCGACACGTGACCTTGTCGAAAGTTTGCCAGCAAGCTTTTTGGGCCTTCTTTGTGCGGTTCGGGCAATGGAACTGGCGGTTGGGGTTGGGATGCTCTGCGTCACCAATCAAGTAAGCCATGTGGAAACATCCAGCAGCGTTTCCTTTAGTCTTCGTCGAACTCGATGTGTCAGTTGTCAAGACTAGTTGCCACTCCCAGCTTCAATCCCAAGCCCCAAGAGATCCCGAGAGCGTAAAGGGAACTCCAGAAAGTTGGAATATGGATTAATGGTAGGATCCCCTATAACTTACCTTAAAGGGGTTACGATAATGATATTCCAACTTTCTGGCTTCTACTGGTAAAAGCCAGAAAGTTGGAATATGATTATCCTAAACCCTTTATGGTAAATTATAGGGTATCCTACCCTGAAACCATATTCTAGCTTTCTGGAGTTCCCCTTAAGGCTTTTGCTTTAAGAACCCTAAACCCTTAACCCTAAACCCTTAACCCTAAACCCTTAAGCCTAAACCCTAAGCCCCCGAGAGGGTAAGCCCCCAGTGAGCCAGGCCAGCTCCGGACTCGTCTCGAAGATGGTGAGCAGTGAGCAGATCCAATTTTCACAAGAGCCCATGGTCTTACCCTTAGGGCCCATAGTCGTTCCTTTTGGGGGGTATACTTTATAGGATTCTATATATGAACCACAAAAAGGAACTACTTTGGGGCCTAAGGGTAGATTTGGTGGTTCGGGCATTAGCGCTTGAGCAGCAAAGTCGCCCCTCCAACAACGGATCAGCTCACAACACTGCAGCAGATGCTCGAGTCGAAAAGGTGTGGGTACTTGGCTGGAAATCTTGCCGTGACACCCTGGAGCCGTTTATCTTTTTGTGATAAATGTCGGTTGGCGTGAGATGCTGCAGCATTGAACTTGACGTTGCTGGCAGGGGCCCAGAAGGCCGGTTCGGCCCACCTGTCGGTCTAGCAATGAATTTGAATACGTTGCTGGCCATGCTTCCTATATAACCGATGTGATGTAACTTTGACTAGATGAGAGCTATGGTCGAATTCTTTGTGCGGCGCGACATACGGCATATTGCTCCGTTCGGGAAGCTCAAGAAGTCCTCAATCGTCAACGGAAAAGGCAGCACCTGAAAAACCAATGCTTATGCAAAAAAGCTGTGCTTTTTCGATCAGCCCGGCGAAACATTTCTTCGGCATACCTGATGCCTTACTAAACACGGGGGTCGGGAGAGAGGTGCGTGGCTCAGGGCAGTGGTCCCTGGCCAAAGTTCAGCATGTGTGGGGCGTATCGCCGGACCTTGCTTTCCTAGGTGGCGCTACTGGTATATCACTGTTTCAGAGACCGAGCCTCTGACGTCAGCGTCCCGGTTCCGCTGCATCAACATTGTCAAAAATATTTGTCGGTTGATCATATATGCCGAATGCAACCCTGAGTTGCAGTGGCTTTAAATGGTGGCTTCTGAGCCGCATACGCAATTGGAGATGCATGGGCGCGCGTCTCCCGCAGTTGCTGAGCACTTTTTGAAAGCTAGACGAGATGCAGCGAAAACCTAAGTAGAACATCTAAGCGCGGCCTGGCTCTCGGCTGCTGTTGTGTCTCAAGCGCATGTTTGCTGTGTTTTGCCTTGTGAAATGACGGGTTGTGTGAAAGAATTGCTGCATTTTGTATAGTCATGGAGGCCGCGAGACAAGGACAAGTTGTGTTGCCGGATGAAACCGGGAGCTTCGTTCATATGTTTCTGCAAGGCTACTACCGCGCCAAAATCATTCCAGGCGTCTTAGTGACTTGTCGGCCTCTGGCATATCGTGCGGAACGACGACAGGACAAAACAAGCTCCAACACTAGACTCGATGACACAACTGTTTAAGTTAAGTTTATCGCAGTTCCGCGACCTTTGCATCACTTGGTTACCGCAGCTGTCATCCCCCTTTACAGAATATTGGTAGGGGAGCGGGGGAAGAAAGAACGGGCCACGCGCCTTTGGCCTGGTGCTTTCCTCGGACTGAGGGCGTTTTGCGGTTTCAGAATACATGGGGTTGAGTGGATTGCCAAGCTGTCTGCAAACGAGCGTGTTCTCAGTACAAAGCAGAAACGGACGGCGAATCTGCATGACCATTTGTAGTTTGAGTTGTATGTCGAGTAGTTGTGGAGTGCCTGCCAGCTCCGCTAGCACAGACCAGAGTTTGGGGTGGCTTATTCCTGTCGACAGACCTTGTCCGAGTGCAGATGCATTGTGGAGCTTACTCGCCTTACTCGATGTGAACAAACAATCCCCTGATTAATGCACCTGGTATACTTCCTTCGAGCCGTGTAGACTGCAAGACCGCACATTGGCCCTAAACAGGGATTCGTCCATTCGTATCTAGCTCATCTGCAAGTCTCTATCACGATCCTTGTTCCCTGTCCTTAAGTGCTGAGGGCCTGTGAGGCACCGTCACTTAAGCCCGACGATGATTCAGCCGCCTTCTGCGCTCCACATCCTCAACGTCGTCATATCGTCGCCTTCACGACGCATCATGACCCCTAAAGGCTATACGGCTATACAGCGTAAATCCCTAAGATCTGGTGAGGTAGTGCATGTGTTGTCGTCGAACCAGTATTGCTGCAGACCTTGCCAGGCTTGCCCGAGTGTGAGTGTCAAAGAAATCCCAAACCCCACATACCCCACCCCAACTTCCTAAACCCTAAACCCTAAAACCTAAGCCAACAGCCCGAAAAAGATAACTGGCCCAGGCTGCCCGGACGATGGCAGAGCTCCAGGTCCGGGGCACCTCGCCCACGCGCGACCTGTGCGCGCCCAGAGTACGGGATGGGCCGGGGCCCTGGATTTCAGGGTTTAGTTGGGTTTAAAGGCTTAGGATTTGGGGGTGACGGTACAGGATTTAGGGTGTCTGGCTGAGGCTTTGGGGTGATAGGATTTAAGGTCAGCTTGATCGGGGCTTCTGCTTGGGCCCGGGAATTCGCGGGGGAAATGTTTCGGTAGTACATGACACTTTCGTGCGGGGAAGTCTTGGAACACGTGCTCCGTTGTAGGAAATTTGTTTCGCATCCAAGTTCCAAGTTGTTGATTTGCTCTCTGTGGCTGTGATGAGGAAGTCAAGAAGGCCATGGGTAAAACGCTGTGGGCCGTGGGAGCATCCGACCCTCGTAGAAACAGCGTAGAAGATTCAGGCTAAATGATTCATGCAACCTGGTCATAGCATACTGACAGCCTTCTCCTTCATGCCTTTTTGTGAAGCCCACACGATGAACTTACTTTGCGGATGAGCTTACTCTGCGGATTTTGAGGTAAGTTGCGTTCTGGACCAGCTCAGCCAGCTGACGAGAACATTCCGAATTACATATGCTGGGTTTAAGATTATTGCTTATTGCGACGAGGTATCTGTCACCCAATACTCAACCGTCAGAGGCTCATGGACGAGAAGGCCGTGAAGCGAGCGAATCGCCTTGCCGGTGTGACTGGGGCAAAACATGACGATTTCAAGGGTTTAGCAGTTCGGGGTTTTGCTTTCAGCTTGCAGCTTGAACCCAGAGCCTAGTATTTCCGCCTGATGGGCTTTGCATCGGGGCCTGTCGCATTCATTTTTGGTAGCCCTCAAGACTCGAGAGACCAAAAGCACGCAAACCGCCTACACGAGCGTCATCATCATCATTGCCATCTGGCCATCAATCATCATCAACAGTATCATCAGCCACCCTCGTCTGCACGACGAGCTCAGCTAGCTAAAAGTCTAGATGTTTGCAATCTTGCGTCACATTATCCAAGCCGTTGGTTCCTTCATGTTCACTCATCGTGTAGATTCCGAACCGGAACCATTGGTTGCTCGTCAGAGTCAGAGACTCGTCTTGCGTGTGCACAGAGCGCCCCTGCATGTTGCAGGCTTTTTGCATAGCAGTCACTGTGGCAAGCTGCTGCCAATACTGTTTGTGTTCATGTGGAAAGTGTTCGCAGGTTGATGTCCAAGTCTTGGAGGAGCAGTCCGCATCCTCACATTTCCGGTGCACCAACCATCAGCAAACATGTCGCCCAAACCAAAGGCGCTGCATTTGAGACTCCAGCTGCAAGTCCATAGAATCCGCATAGTCCTGATCGTCGAAACTTCGTCACGGGCCTAGGTCGGACAAGCAGTGGGCAATATGGACCTGAAGGCTGGCCACCACAAGCCAGGGTTTGGGAGTGGGAGTGTCCGGCAGTGTGGGGGAGAAAAACATATATATATATATATATATATATATGTGTATATATATGTACGGCCAAGCGTTTGAGGATCTTTAAGACGTTATCTATCGATTAGTGTGTTTGACGTGTTTCGATTTTTCTTGCCAGCGTTCATAAAGCACAGGTTCTTTCGTGCTTGCCCGTCCAGTGCGTCATAAATTCGAGCGCCGTTTCAGTAGGGCCTTGAAGTAAGTCTGAAGAGCCGAAGCCAGTTCTTGCTCGGTTCTCATGCCCGTGCGATAAAGCCGGGCCCTAAGCGCTCTTCACATCGCATATGGTGAAGCATCGCAGTATCGCCACATAGAACAACCACAGCGGCAGGAATGGGCAGAAGAACCTTGATGGGGGGTCATCGGAAGGGCTTCAACGTCGAGAGTATCGTTTCAGCTGCCGAACAGTCAAGACTAAAGAAGCCTCACCAGACTAGCAACATCGAAAACAGCTGCTACCGCTGCGGAACCGTTGGAATCATCATCGCCATCATTGTCATCATGACTCATGACCACCCTCATCACCATCATCATCTTAATCTTCGTGCTCTTCTCCATCTCCATAGTCATCAGCGTCATCATCCCCATGAAGCATCATCAGGGCGGTATAGGGTGGTCATGGTCCTTGTGCTCAGTCTCGCAAAACCCTCAAAACATTTCAAATCACCAAAAAAATCGCTCAGAAACCAGCTAGCCTCGAGGTCACTCCCTTGTAACCTCCCCTCTTACTAGATCTTTGTCGTGAAGGCATCCTTGCAGAGCTACCGCTCATAATTAAAGACCCATTATCGTGAGCGTGTCCTCATTGCTCTTGTCGTTTGTGGATTGCCACGAACAGCAAAACGATGAACAGCAGCTTGCTCACGCGATGACTTCTTTTGTGGTGACCACGTGTTCTGTCAATGCGGTATACCTTTGCAGTGGCAATGCTGTTGCTGTTGTGTCGGTTGGCAGCGGGGAGGATGAGATGGTGTGGGATGATCAGATTGCGGTGACACTAGCTCACACTGCTCGATGACGATGATGCCGGTAATGAAGACGTCGAGACGCCGGATGGAGATGGAGACGGATGTTGACGATGGCGATGGCAACACATTTAGCTTTTTGGGAGTTCTTGCTGCAACTCGTCACCTGTAAACTTTGCGGGCTTGTCCTGGCTACGTAGAACACGTATTAGAATACAATTTGATGTAATATAGTGGTTAATTCAATGATCAATGATCTAAAAACTCTTCCTCACCAGCCCCCGAGTTTGAAGCGAGCTTTATCTTGCAAGGCCGTCGCCGAAACGTACAAGAATCAGGCGCCCGTCTTTTGCATGCGTGGTCTGGAGTTGGTCCAAGATCTTCATAATAATGCTAGGATCCCCCCGTAACGAGTCATATCAGCCTTCCTTCGCAAAAAGTGTAGAACATGTCCCTTTCCTCTGTGCTGTGGAATTTTAGGCGACGACCCAGAGAGCCCAATGCGCCTTAATTAAGGAATATAGATTAAATAGTAGTAATAATGATAGTAATAGTAATATGATTTCCCTGATAATATAAGATACATTTCTTAATTAAGGAGTATAGCTCAGATCAGAATATGACTCCCCTGATTTTTTTGGTATATTCCTACATTGAGGGGTGTTGGGCTCTCTGGGGAGATGTTCCGGGGAGACACCGGCTCTCCCTCGCACAGATCCACCTGACACAGGGTTTAAATTGGCTTAAATATGAATATATATATATATATATATGCTCACCCCCCCCGTTGACAGACCATGCCCTTGTGATAGTGTACTCTCGTTCGGTGACTAGGCTGAGATATTGTATCTAAACACACCACACATGACGACAATCTGTAAAGCAAATCCTTTACAGTACATATACCAAGTATACTTTTAACATGCCATGTACTGAGGACGCATGGACCAGACGCGCGACACGTGAGTTATGAGTTTTGTGGTAGCATTGATATAGGATGAACATGAGTATTAATATTGGTTTTAGTATTAGTATCAGCAATAGTATTAGTGTTTACTGTAAGTATATATATATATATGTATATATCGACAGTAGTAAGTATACATTAATGTTAGTGCTCATCGTCGTTTTAGTCTTAGTGTTAGTGCCAGTGTCAATGCCAGTAATAGTACCACTGCTAGTATTAGTATCAGTCTTCATGTTGGGTTTAATATCAGTTAATAATGGCAGAGGTGCTAGTATTGGTATCACGATTAGAGTGAGTTTCGATATGTTAATATTCTGATAGTTTCGTATATCAGCAGGTTAGTATATCAATACATTGATGTGTTCGAGAGGCAACATATTTGTATACTTGCATATTCGTAGATTTAATACTTTAGTTCAACTGATGCATGAGTAAACTAGTGGATTGCTGTATTAATATATTAGTATATTAACATACCAGTATATTCGTACATTAGTGTACTAGTATACTACTATATGCAATATACGTGTATTGTCTAATGATTTATAACATGTATATCACTATGTTGTCATATTAGTACACTAACTTGCCATGTCGGTATACTTGTATATTACAGTAGTCGTATACTAGTATAGTAGCATACTAGTATAATAGCATACTGGTATAGTATATTCACACATTAACAAGTAGTGAATTGTTACATTGGTATATGGGTATATGCTTGTCCTAAAACATCAGTACATGAATGCATTGATACATATCGGCAAAAATCATAATGGTATGTGTTCTGGTGTGCATTAGCATATACACGTGTCTTTTGTAATGGTATTAGTCTTCACATCAACGTGAATATGACTATTGGTATTCGTAGGAGTATTAATGTTAATATTCGTATTAGGATTATCCGTAGTCGCATTAGCCTTAGTATAAGTGTTAATAATGGTATTAATACTGGCATTATCTTGAATATTCAACAAGTTATCAACGTCAGTATTGTTATTGGTGACAGCATTACTGTTAACAGCATAAGAGTATACGCAGTAGTAGCCGTAGGAGTATCAATACTTATGTAAATCTTGGTGTTAGTATAAACAGTGTGATTGGCATTAGTAATAGTGCTAGTGCTAGTGCTAATATTAAAATGATGTTATGTATTTGCATGAACGTTTGTCTTATATTAGTATTACTCCTGATTACATGAAAATACTAACAGATAAATACATGCATGAGCTAATGTATTTGTACTTTAATATAGTGGTATGTATATCTATGTACATTGGTATATGCAGGTGTGTATTAGTATTGGTATGAAAATACACTACTACCAATATGGGCATAATTATTGATATGCGTAGGAGTATGAACGTCAGTGTTAATCATTATTAGTATTTGTATGGTGCCTATTCGTATTGGCTTAAAAAAGTGTAAATATTAGCGTTAATGCTGGTATTAGCTTGGGCAGTCAGCAAATGATCAATGTCAGTATTAGTATTGGTAATAGTATTCGTTGGAGTACCCTTTAAAAAAAAAAAATATATATATATATACATATATATAAAAACACTGACAATCGTGTAAACAGACCTTGCCTTTGCAAGTGAGTCGTAGTGCATGGTCTGTCATCCGATGGGTCACAATCAGCCCATTGAAAATCAATTCCAAAATTTCCGAAGTTTCCGAAATTCCCAAAATTTCCAGAATTTCCGAAGTTTCCAAAATTCTCTCCCCTAACTTTCCGGATTTCCAAAATTTCCAAAATTTCCGAAATTTCCAAAATTTCCAAAACGGCCCGACCTATAGTCGACAGGATTTTTCCAAAACATAA